TTGTCGGTTTTAATTATGTATCTATATATCCATAAGTAAATTTGTTTAAATATTTCCTAATGCTATTTTTAATTGAATTCACGAGCATTTCGCATATTTCTGAACATTCAATTTAAAAACTAAAGGATATTTTATGAAAATGTTATCTGTTTAAAGAGAGTATTGAGAAAACATGCTTACATGCTACTTTTTATTTCGCGAAGAATGTCTACGTTTGTTGTTGTTTATAAAACCACTACATGCTCAAGCGTTTTCTTGGCGATTAAAAACATATCGGTCTAAAACGAAAAAGAGAGCAACCCTCTTTCCCTCCTACTGAGAACTGTCATTTAGAGGATCTCCAGGGTTCCAGAAATAGGGGGGCAGGAGACATCTGCACGGCCGCTTTAAGGCGGTCATAACGCTTTCGAGGTCTTCACCACTGACCGCCTAGAACCGTCAGTAACGCTTTCGAACACTTTTCGAGTGACCGCCTAGAAGCGTCCGTAACGCTTTCGAGGTAGGCCGTCTTGACCGCCTAAACCCGGTCATAACGCTCAGAGGGCTAGGAGAAGTCCATCCTACACCCAGTGTGAGTGACAAGTCCGATCATTTTCATCTTAGTGAAGTAGACTTAAGCCATTTAGATGATGATAAAAGGAATGACATAATGAACTTGTTAAGAAAATATGAAAACTTATTTATAAATAAGGTACAAATTGCCAAAGTAGGAGAGCATAAAATAAGATGAAATGACACTGAAAGAAAGAAGCCATATGTGTATCGAATTCCAGAAGCATTGAAGCCTCAAGTAGATAAACAGATCGAAGAAATGTTGTCAATGGGATTGACTGAAGAAACCAACGCTGAAATTTCGTACCCTATTGTATGCGTTATGAAGAAAGACGGTAATCTTCGCCTTTGCGTTGACTTTAGATTCCTTAATGCAGTAACGAAACCAGATGACTTCCCTATGGAAAATCCTAAAGAGCTCTTATTCCACATTGGAAAAGCCAAAGTGATATCCAGCATTGATTTACTCAAAGGCTATTGGGCCATACCATTAGAAAGAGAAAGTCAAGAATTAGCATGTTTCAAGACACATCGAGCTCAGTATCAATTTAAAGTCATGCCATTCGGGCTACGCAACGCCGCTGCAACATTTCAGAGAGTGATGAACCAGGCCCTTGCTAAATACAAAGATTTTGCTCGAGCCTACGTCGATGACATAGCTGTTTATTCAAATAGTTGAAATGAACATTTAGTACATCTTGACACCATTTTTTCAAAACTGTTAGAACTACAGTTTTCCGTAAATCTCAAGAAATGTTCCTTCGCTAAAACTCATATTAAGTATCTAGGACATATCATCGGTTCCGGCAGTCATCGTACAGATCCAGAGAAAGTGGAGGCTATCCAGAAATTAGCTAGACCTCAAACAAAAAAAAAAAAAAAAAAAAAAAAAAAAAAAAATTGAAAAGCATTCTAGGCCTATGTAATTATTACAGAGATTACATTCCACATTACGGCCGAAACAGTTTATCCATTAACCGAGCTCACCAAAAGAAGAAGTCCTGAAGAGCTGTGCTGGACGGAAAAACACGACGAAGCATTCGATAAATTTAAGAAATGCCTAATGGAAGCACCTAGTCTTTATACCCCTGTTCCAGGGTTACCTTTCATAATTTAATGTGATGCATCTTCAACAGGTGTCGGAGCCTGCTTATCTCAACGGAAAACGGTTGTACCCGATTAGTTACGCCAGCCAGAAACTAACCAAAACACAACAAGCATGGCCAACTATCGAGAGGGAAGCTTATGCTGTTATTTGGAGCTTAAAAAAGTTTGAAACTTGGATTTTTGGATCACCTGTGGAACTGATAACTGATCACAATCCATTAACTTTCGTCACGAAGAACGCACCGCAATCTTCTAAGTTACAGAGATGGGCTTTAGCATTACAAAAGTATGGTACTACAATTTCACATTGCCCAGGTGCTAAGTTAAGCAATGCTGATGCGTTGTCTAGACTAGAAACTATTGAGTGACTTATGTGAAAGAAAGAACCTTTAATAGACATTTATGAACTCTTAAAATTATTATTTTTTTATGTGTGTTTCTTTTTCAGCTATTCTCCTAGAGACTTTTAAGTATATCATAGAAACTTTAAGTATTCTATTGCATTAGAATTGTTTGAATACTAATTTTTAATCATTTATATGTTACAGTTTAGAAGAAGTCTTGTAGTAGGCGTAGAACTAACCTGTATAAGTATTGTGTTATATATCTTTTAACTTCAGTATTGATTAATTTGTAGACTTTAGTAGGTAAGTAACTCTTTTGTTTGACGTCACCATAATTTTTTCATATTTCAATAGGCTTTCACCCTATTTCAGTCTTGGATGGGGAGTGTGATGTATGGGTGACGCCAACCAACAAAATGTATAGAGGGCGCTGGCTTTTAATCTGAAGGCGCCAAAAGTTTTAGTTTCCAAGAGGGAGACCGACAGAGAGGTCATACGGAAGGCTCGAGGGAGCCATTAAGGAAAACGAAATTAACTTGTATTACTTTATATATTTCAGTTATTAATATTGTAGTTTAGTATTAGTTTTGTGTTTTGTGAAATAAATATTAAAAATACAAAAGGGTGGAATTATTTATCTATGAGGCGGTGGATGAAGAAAGGGATGATATCACACTGTCTGTCGGAAATTCTGAAGATATGCTGTTTTTAAATATTTTGCGATTTTGCTGTTCAATGGAATTTTCTGTGGCATAAGCGCCAAGAATGTGATATGTAATAAATAAAGTAAAAACACAAAACGACAATAAAAATAAAAAAAAAAAAAAAAAAAAAAAAAAAAAAAAAAAAAAAAAAAGGAGGTTGGTGAAGCCATCTTAGCAAGAAAACTGTACGTCCTTGTTGAACGAAAGTTCACTTGACTTTGGCTCCAAGGTAAAACCATATCCCAGTGTAGCAATGCAGATTTTTTTCGAATGTTATGCATATCGTAGACAGATTTCGTAAGGCAATTATGGCCAGAATTTTAGGTGAAGTGATAAGCAGTCTAAGATGAAGTGGAGTCGAAGAAGAGTAGTATGGCATACTGAAGAAGTTTGAAGACTGAGGTGTGCCGTGAATCGATATCTTCCGGAGAGCAGTCAGAGTGCTTGCAGCAGCGTCTAGAGTCCGAGCTTGAATGAGAAATTGCTTTAGTAAGCTGGTTGAAGATGCAGGAGGGAACGCTATTGGCTGTGGAGGAAAAGTTCTATTGGGTGAAGTGCGATCAACAGTGCGCTAAGTGGAAGGGGCTAAGCTCTTTTCAGATCAATAACCTGAGAAAAGATCAAAACTTAACGCTGCTTTGGAAATTCTAAACGTATACTTTTATGCTGCTTTTAAAAATTTTGTAATTTTTCTGTTAAATTGCATATGGCGTAAGTGCAAAGAAAATGATGATTAATAATAAAGCTAAAAAGGCAAAAAAAAAAAAAGAACGGGTTGTTAGGAGTGTATGTAAGAGCATACTGTTAGACTGCGAGCTCAGCGAGATTTATTTAATGAATACTACGGCATGTTTTTAATTATATTACTTATTCTTGTCATCTTCCCCTCAACAAATTAAACTCAATCGGACATTGCAGCTTATCACACAGTTGGCCATCACTGAGATTACCACAGCCCGTTGAAAAGGTTTTTCTTGGTGGTCTCTTACCAAGATAAACTATGGCTACGAAAGCCCGAACAAGTTGATTCAGCTGCCCACTGTAGAATATTTTAATACATTTCTTACAAAAAAAAAAAAAAAAAAAAATTCTACTGGAAAAAAGTAAGACAGTTTATAATTGCAAAAAGTACTTGTTACCTGCATAATTTGCGTTCTAATTATGTATTTACTCTAAAAATTCAACCTATAAACTTGCTTAGAAGCACGTTTCTATTTCTGTTGTTTTGGTGGATATTTTCTTTCAGTCGCTAAGAACAGATTCAGAGCAGGTTTCCTTCAGTGATTTTAAGATAAAATAATGCATCTGTCCAGAAATTTTAACGTACTTTCATACATTGCAGTTAAATTTCACAAGCACATATTTTAAAATTCAGTGTAACCCAAATAAATGCTACACTTTGTTTGTAAAAACTCGTTAAAACTTTGAATACAACGAAAAGAACGCATATGAAAACGGTGACGTAGCTTATTAAAACTGAAGAATTGTCATCTCGTGGTTGACTAAATGTTATAGTCATGGTTGCTACAGTTTGGTGCATTTTCAAAATCTGGCGACATCTATAAAGGTAATTGCACAAGTATGTAAGTGCCACTTTTTTTAAGAGTTTAATTTAACTGTTTTGCCACAAGATTTTATTATTGCATTAGGACAGAAGGAACTATTTCTATTACAGCATATAGCAGAAATGTAGCAAAAATAGTAAATCAATCAATGAAAGGATCTCCTGGTTGCGCTGTGTTGGTTGTATGTTTTATGGAAAGATGGAAAAACGAGCAAAACTACCTGAACCACTCTGGTATTTTGACAACATGTCTATTACTTTAATAATAGTCCCTTCAAGGTCGAAGTGACCCTTCTCTCATTTACGATCATGATGTGGGTAAGCATCCCCGCACAGAGGAGATAAGGAAATTTTAGTAGAGTTAAGAATCCGCTTTTCCCCAACACTCGTTGCCATGGTTACGAGTAATGCTTTGGGGAGAAGAAATGACCTTGATGTGCATAGTCCCTTCAAGGTCGAAGTGACCCTCCTCTCATTTACGATCATGATGTGGGTAAGCATGCCCGCACAGAGGAGATAAGGAAATTTTAGTAGAGTTAAGAATCCGCTTTTACTCCAACAGTCGTTGCCATGGTTACGAGTAATGGTTTGGGGAGAAGTAATGACCTCACATACTTATGCCTATTCTAAAATTATGAAACTGCTGTCTATTCTGCACATTATAAAGGATTGCAGTTTTCTAATTAGATGAAGAAAAACTATTTCAAGAAATCTAAGGAATGGACATAGTTTAAAAAATAAATCGGGTCTTTATTGATCAATATATAATAACAAGAGATATGTACAAGGGATTAGCGTGTGATGACTGGAAGACGCCTTCGTGGAAATAAACATGAGGTACACAGTAACAAATTGGAAAACATATTTACAGTGCGCTTGTGAAAGGGATTGCTTGAACAGCGTTTCTCCTCTTTCATTGATAGCAACCTAAGTCTAGAATGAGGATGTTACCAGTATCCTTCTCCACCTCCATGGCCGCCGATGGCTCCACCTCCGAAACCTCCTTGCCATGGGTCATGGACGAGCTGGGTGTGGGCGGACTGGCTGTGGCTGTGGACACTGTATGAAAAGACATCAATAATTATTATCTAAGGTTTTTACTGATACATTTGATGCAGTCATTTTTAAGATTTTAAATCCCATGTTTTAAACACTTAAGCGAAATGGAGTTATGTCAGAATGGTCACTTGTCTGCACCCACTAAAAATAAGTAAATTAGTTACACTTTATTTAAGATTGCGTTATTCCGAGATAGTTTCTGCTTTCATATATGCAATCATATCACATTTAGGAATTGTTTATTCTCCTTGTTTCTTCGTGTGAATTGGCTGAATTATTAAAAATATCGAAAACGAACATTTTTCAGCTGCCATATTGGATTGCACCAAATTCAAACGAAGACTATTGTCGCATAATTATTCGTTTAAGACAAGTTTCGTTTAACTCGGCAAGAAGTTTTGATTTTTAAAATATTATAGAATTTGGTGGTATAATTTTTTAAAAAAATCTAGGGAGTCAGTATTTGATTCCTAGAACGTCACGTTGTGTTTATTGCTTTCTTCTGACTCACATTTTCAGATGATTATGGAACACGTTTAAAATGCATTAAATGCATTCATTATCTAACGATTTCCGAGTATTTTAATTCATTGCATAACATCTGAATTAATTTTTAAGAGATACATTTGCTGTGTTTCATAGCTTTGTCAACAACTAGTTTTTATTCTGTTATCCTGTCCTTATTTGCATTTATTTTCCCCGCTCACTGGAAAAATATGTACATGACAGATAAAATTTAGAGCCCTTACGTTGGTGTTTAAATAGGGTTATTTGATTAGAAGGAGAATAGTCTAGAATCTATTATTAACAACAGTACTTCAGATGTTTGACGACGTTAGGCTAACTGATCTGTGAAACATTCTTAATTTATCTCGAAATTACTTTTAATATTTAAAAAAATTTAATTTAACTATACAACATTTTAGCAAAAGCGATGATAATGTTCCTATGTCAAGGAAAATTTAGATTCTCGTGCTCATACTTTGTCATCACTGACATAAATAAATATATTATTTCATACTTCTATATTTTTCATGTTTTATCAATCAAGTTTATTTTAATTGGATTATATAGTAAGAGAGTTAAGCAAATTTAATTAACATGCAAACTAATGATTTATTGATTTTAAATTAATTAACTTTTTTCTGCTTACAAAACAGTACAGAGCACTGATCTGTCTATACTCCAATACTTTGGTTGCCAAAAATACTGCGCTAAGCTCTCTGGTGTTCAAGTTTCATTTCATGATTTTGTTTAATATTACTTTTGATTTCACCTAACATTGTGGTTTTCTGTGTTTAGCTACTTTTCACATGATTTTTTTTATTTATTATTAAATTTCACTATAATTTCCAAATTTACTAAAGGTAGATTATTCTAATCTTTAAAATACATAATTGAAATCATTAGATTACTCTATGTTAATCTTCCTGTAAGGACAATCATTTATTGTTATTGTTAAATTTAGTAAAATTAAACTAATACTTACGGGTATTTGACGTGGCTGTCTTTTCCGAGCTTGATGGGGAAGGGCAAAGGCAAAGGAATGGGCACGAACCTAGGCTTGATAGCTTTAGCAATCAAGTAGGCAGCCAAGAGCTTTTTGTACCGAATTCCTCCTCCTGCTAAGACCTCAGGTGGGAAGATGCTGGCTCCAACTAAGACGATGGCGACGGCCATGCACAGAAATTTACAACTGACCATTGTGATCTGAAACAGAAATTAAATTACTTTTCTTTTTTTTTTTTACTTTACGGATTTTTAAAGCAGTGTTTAGCCTCAATAAAACAAAAACGAAGTTCGCACAAGTTTGCAAGTTTACTCAATTGGGTTATTTAAATGAATTTATCAATAATAAAATTATTGTCTTATTAATTAATACAATAATAATTGTATAATCATATTAAACTCTGTATAATTGTGTAATGATACTAAATTATGCTTACTTTTATCCAAGCAAAAATTATTATTACTAATAGTTAATAGTACAATAGTTAAGGTTATCAATGAATTAATGTCGTGACAGTTCAAGTGAACCGAGATATAAAGAATACAATAAAGACAGCTCTTCATAAACTACAAAATGTAACCGTAAATATTTCAATATGATGCTAATTTATTAAATTATTAAAAAAATTTACTTGTGATTATGTGACTACATAATGCATAAAATTAAACAAAAACATTTGCATGCAATATATAGTTTTAAATATCCTCTCAATACATGGAAGAAATAAAATAAATCAAAAATGTTTTGTAATAATTGAACAAAATTAAAATGTTAACTGGTAAAATTTCATGCAATAAGTATGAATAAATTTAAGTCTTTCTTATTAAGTATTAACACAATAATAAGGAAATAAAATAAATTTTACAGTAATAAAAGAAAGTGGAAGATTTCTTAAAAATAAATTAAATCAAGAAAATTATAAAATAAATTAAATCTACGAAAACATTCTTAAATTTAATTTATTTAAGGATATTGTAACTATAATTACTTATAATTATCAGTCATGAATTCTATTACTTGCATGATAGAACTGATAAGACATAACTAACTAATAAAAACAATGTGACAGTAATAATATTAAAAGAAATGGTTGGAAAAAATTCTAACAAAACTTCAGGCGCTTCTATCAAAAATAGATTTGTAATCCAACGGTTTTCAAGTGCGTGGTCACGGCAAGACGAAGTTCAGAAAATGATAAATGACAACAGTAATATAAAGTTTAAAAAGAAAACGAATTTTAGCAAAACATAACTGACAAAATATTTAAGGATAAACGACGTTTTAAAGATATTGAAGAGGACAGACACTGAAGGATAAGTGTCAACGATCGGACAGCAGTTCTGTGGACCTTTTAACTCTGACTTTCACATGCCTGTGAATTGTTTCTTTTTGTGATGTGAGTAATAAAACGTGAATGCATTTTATCTATAAAATTTTCTTTTGTAATACCAATACCCTCAGTGTTAGGTTAGTTTTAAAGAAGAAGAATAAAATATTTAAGAAGCTAACAACGCTTAGATTTATAGCAATTTGGTTATATATTTATTTATTCAAGAGTTATTTAATTATAGTTCTTTAAGAAAACTATTTCGCAATATCCTTCTGAATAATTAGTTCAAAATAATAAATCTTAGACGACCCACGCATTTGTGAGGACTTTCCCCTTCTCACAGAATTAGGGCAAAGATCACTTCACTATAGAAAAGGAAAGCAAAAGTTGTTTTTTTAGGTCGGCCGGACCTACCGGTTTGCTTCCTTTCCCGCCTTTTATGACGAAAATATTCCACTTCCTTTAACGATTTTGTCTGGAGGATGGTGTGAAACTATATTCATTTAGGATATCATCTATTTTTCGTCCGAGCGACCTGACGAAAATCTAGATTCCTTGCGACGTTTATTTCTATAGTACATTGAACTATTTGGAGAAAATGCTTCCAAATAAAAAAGATTGCGTTCGGTAACGAAATGATGTTTTAGTGAATGCTTTGTTCTCTACAATATGTTGTCAATGATCGCTTTTCAAAGCGAAAAAGAGAGCTGTTCTTCGACTTAAGAGTAAAAAAAAAACTGCTTAAAAAACAAAATGCAAGATGCCGCAAAGAACACTAGAGTTATCTGCCTAAGAGAAGGGATACCTTCGTGGATGATTTTCTATGGGAAACTGGCTCGTATTGACGTTACACCTAGGGAAAACCACGAAAATAACCATACAGCCAGCCCGTTCGCCTCGTATCGAATCCGGGTCGATCCGAGGTCGAAATTTAGCTGTCTTAACCACTGGTGGAGCACAAGGATAACATGGTCCACTTTCTTTTAGAATATTCTCTACGGACATCTTCTGAGACAGATGGCCATTAAGTGTCTTACTATAACAGAAAACGTAACATAACCTCTTACATATTTAAAATGGAAGAATATTCCTTATTTACGATTTAGATCTTTAAAATGAATAAAACTGGAGTAACCGAATGACTAAAAGTAATAGTTTGCTAATATATGCTCTTGATGAATTGTTTGGAATTCAAAGCATGTGAGAGAAGATCTAGTAGATAAAAGCAAATTTAAATTTTCAAAATATTTTTCAGTTGCATCTTAAATTAATCTGGCTTTATTTAGAAAGTGTTAGACATTTTGAAAGGAATTTAACACTAATCTTTCTTCAGGGAGCAAAGGTATTCAACAAGAAAATCTATTTTAAGATTTCATCTGATATGGCGGATATTTTCTATAAAATCATTATCAGTTTAAGATTGAATTTTGCCTAACTTTAAATGATAGGATTTAGAATAGGAGTCTTTTTTATCTTTTAAACCTGTATTTATTTAAATTGCTTATATTTTGGTTTCACAAAATGATACAAAATACACGAATTCTAAGAAATATTGATATTATTCTATGGAAATCTCAGTTAACGAATCATAGTTAACCGAAAAGTTTTTGACTGACTAGATCATATTCGAAATAATAGTGAAAGCTTTCACTTGTACCAAATAAACACGACGCATGTATAAAGCGTGCAAATTTATCGCAGAATTATCCGTGTACTATGCATTGACTAAACTGGACCAGCCTGAAAGATGCAAAAATACTTTAGTATGGAATTTCCTAATGCCTAAATCCATTTGAAAGAATTAAGAATTTAGATTTATTACAGATTTATTTGCCGAAAAAAATATGAAGTTAGGAATGTTTTCCTTTTCGTAATAGCTAATAATGACAATTTCTTAGATTTAAAGGCATAAGATTTTCGAGGAAACCTTTAGAGATTATTTAGATAAGTTGTCATGTAGACTGTTAAAGATATGAAAATATATGAAATTACCATGACCTTTCTAATGTAGAGAGGTTGATTTTGGTTTATTTTATTACTGCAAAGCATACGAGGACTATCTGCCTAACGGAAGGGATGCCTTCGTAAAGGACTTTCTAAGGAAAACTAGCTCGTATATACATCTAATGTAGGGAGGAAGCACGTGACTATTTAATGAGATGAAGGAATGAAGCTGTGTAACATACTTACAATGGTTTAAGGGCATTTAAAAGTATTAATTATGATAATACTAATTTTATCTTGATCCATATCAGTTTACAAGCTAGTCTGATAACTTTAACTGGCTATCGGAAATACGACTCTGTAATATAGATAGAATATATATGTGCCTTAAAAATTTTAAGTACTTTTAATGATAATAAATATGTATGTGTAGTTTGACTTATGCCGATTTTTAAATAATTCGTAAAATTTTTTAACTTTATAAATAAGTAACGTATTTTCTGTGTAGTTCCTTCCTAAAATAAAATACATTTTCTGAGGATTTATGAAATTAATAATTTCTTACTTTTCATTCCATTTATATGTTTTAAAATTATCATATAAAAAAAGGAGGACTAAATTTGCTAAGTCTTACGCACATTTCACTGTAATAATTATTTCAGTTTTAAAAATAAGCTTATTAACCAAACTTGTAATAAACTGTTATATTCAAGAATATCATAGCCAGTTTATTTTAAAAACTTTATTGACGTTCTCACTGAAATTTTTAATGTAAGTATTATTTGAAATACTGTTGAGTTGTCAATTAAAGAAAAGCATAAAATTTAAATTCATTATTGCTATTTCCTTAAAATTTCTTACATGATACATTTAGATGACTTATGAAACAACTAAACAAACTGCTAAAAAAAAAGAAGCAAATGTTGTTGAGAATTTAACTAACGCATTTTAAATAAAAGAAACTTGAAATTTATTGTTAATATCTACAGAATAAAAAATTCGAATGCTTCATATTTTGCAATAACTAATAAGCCTTCATAAGATTCGAAATTATAAAATAGTACACTAATAATATAATTAAATATGCATTATCAACTACTGAATTTTTTAATTACTGTACTCACTTTCTAAAATATATTCGAACTAAACACAATGTAATATTAGAAATAAAAAATAAATTATTTTTCTTAAAACTGGAATTAAATTTGTAAATAAGCTGAATTTGATGCATTTTGCTTAAATCTGTGGAAATAAGAATGTTTTAATCTCACTTTTATTTATTCAACTCTTGATATTTTTAAATTAAAATACTAGAAAATCAAATAAAGATTAGGTCCCTAAGCATATCCTGCTGTTATGTTCATTACACAATTCAAGAAATATTTAAGTTTATGCCTATCATTTTCTAAAAAAATTATTGCAATTACTCGAGTTAAAGCTCCGTATTAAATACGATTTTTACAATAAATTCGATTTAAAATGTAAAATTCAGTATCTGCATTCCAAGAAGGTTTCTTAAATGTTGCTGACATAACATTATTTGACCATCAGTTACCTAACCTAAATGCGTGTCCCTCAAAAGCTACGTCAGTTATTCAACTCATTCTAGCGTGTAAATCGGCTAAGTTCAAGGACGTTCTTCCAGTAACGTAGTGATTACTGTTACTCAAGAGACCTAAAAGACTGCAGTTCGTATTGAGTTCTTACAGGCGTTTAAAACCTGTTCCGGCGGAAACCTCTGAAAGAATATTAAATTACTATTATTGCAGTAAGTTAAAGAATATGAATGGATTAAATACTTAACGGGACTTCTGAAGAAATTTTAGTCTCTTTCTCTTTGACTGAAATTTTGAACGAAAATTTGCTTTAGTTTTTAGAAGTTAAAAACAATCACGAATTATATTTATAATGTTGAAAGGAAAACCATTTATTCTGAAAAACCCTGTCTTTAATTTTTCGGTCTGAAGTAACGCGATTGCTAGACAGTTTCTGTTTTAACAGCCGTGAGCTAAAACTGATTTTTTAGCGAAGAAATTTACGTTAGGTCATCATAACTCTTTACATCGCTCCATTGAAAATAGGCAATAGGCTCATGGACAGCATTATACGCGAAAATGCAGTCAAATGCCATCATACAAGATCCGAAAGCATGTTCTTTGCAAATTATGTTTTCTCATTTAGAGAAAAAACATACCTATTTCTGTTTGATTTTAAACACATGGGCTGTGTTAACACAACTGATCGCCTGAAAAAATGTCGTATAATATCCAAATGCCTTTCATCGAGCCTATATTTGCGGAACGAAACGGTGTATATCCAAATGTCGAAGTCGGGTTAGAATCACCATTTTGCTTCCGAAAAACCTTTGCAATAGCTTTGAACATTGCTTTATAAGTATTATAATCCACATGTGCTGATGCATTGCTTACCTCTGTCTTTAGGAGGATAGATCCTTAGGAGGAGAGTTGGTTTAAACCTTTCTTGTTGGAAGAGTTGACGAATTTGATGCAATGTTCGGGACAGACAACCCTTTTATATTAAACTAACCATGGCCCTTGGCTTTCCTTAAAGTCCCATGTGCCCCAATTGGACAGAAGTTGTCCGCCACACCTCCCCCGCGGTCAGAGACGAAAAAAGCAACGCGTGTGTTGCTATAATTGTTTACAACGGCAAATCGCCCTTTCCTTTGTTTAGTTGTTGAGAGACAACTCGTTATTCGACTGCTCTCGTTAATCTGTAGCAGGCGGTAGAACCACCTCGATTTCGAAGGCACGGCACGTCCAATAGGATCGTCCCAAATAACCCCGGGCGTCCGTTCATCCAGGTGTTCGTGTCCCAGAATGGCTAGATGATGATGTGATATAAGAATCCACTTTTTCCTTCACTATAAGCAGCTCTGTTGTTCTTTTTTTTTTGTGTGTGTGAGGCACTTTCCCAATCGGTTTCGCTCTCATCGGTTGCTCTAGGCTCACTTTCAGTGCAGAAATAATGGACATTTCACTTTCAGAGAGGAAATTGCCCAAAGGACATTAAATATCTTCTACTTTAAGGGGGAAAATGAACGAAACGGGGACATTCGCTGTGAAAATAGGATTATGTCCATTTCCACTGTATTAAGGGAATCACCTTTTACTGAAAGGATAAATTCAATTTTTATCCTTTTCTAATTTGTTACGCAATTGTTTGGGAAAGTTTTCTATTATGTTCCCCCCCTCAGAGATAAGAAAGAAATGAGCATTAACAAGCGATGTAAAATTTTTATTTTTTACAACTTGAATTGTTCGAATAGTTTTTAGAAATACACTAAGCTACTACATTTCAACGGGATTTTGATGTTTCAATAATGTAAGTGCTTAGCACATTTAGAACAAATGAAATAAACCATTGTAATGGCAAACTTTGTAATAATGGAGATATTTGTATTAATATTTCGATAGTGCTGAATGATTTAACACTGTTAAGCAAATTTCAGGGACTTCACATATGAATATGTACAAATAACATAGATAATATAGATAATAATAATGTATATATATATATATATATACTTGTTTGACTTCTCCAATAATTAGTAGGTTATTTTTGAAGTAGAGGGCATAAAAAATGAGCAATGCCCTCGCCGTTACCTGGACTTTTCGAATATGCGCCGAGTGTGCTACCGTTACAATACGAATCATGCCTGAAGTAGGGAGAAATACCTTACATATCCTCTCTTTTAAAAGGGCAATTGGGAATTAGGGGATCCAGTTGCCAAATCCTTGTGGTGAGAAATTATTGTACACCACCTTTTAGTTTGGGTGCCGCTATAGAGTCATTAAGTTTTTATGTTGGAGATATGAAAAATATGCAACTGGACTCGAACCCTGAATCTCTGAATACTCGTTGAGAATGCTTCAAATTACATTACGAAGGCATGCAGAAAGGAGGGAGAAAATACCTTATACATTGATTAATTATTTGTTTTATTTAATTCTCTTTCTTTTATTTTTTTAACCTTCACTAGGGAATATGAATGTATGAATTTAGAATCTGAATCAGTGTTGGGATTCCAAAGTATTAAGAAATGGTAAGTGATAAAATTAACTGATGAGTAATTAAAAATATATTATACTTCAATTCCAACAAATTATTTTCCTAATTAAAAATATTTTAAGAAACGTTTCCGTAGAATTGGTGCGTTAGGTTACATGGCGAAGTACAATAAGGCTATCCGCCTAAGGGGAAGGGTGTCTTTGGGGAGAATTTTCTAAGGAAAAATGACTCATTTTGCATTTTGGGAAAACCATGCAGCCAGCCATTTCTAACCCGGTTCGAGCTATCAGTATTCAGTAGTGTTAATCACTCGGCCACTGACTGAGCGTCGAATTGATGCAAACCAGATAAAAGTCTGAAATGCTTTTAATTTCTTGTACAGAAATAAGCACGTTCTTCACATGTGGTTTTGTAGTGAAGTAAACAGTATATCATTGCTATGAGCCAAAGACTAGAATTCGATTTTCGGCGAAAGTGCAGTCATATTGTCAAGAAACTTCTTTCATGAGCAATTTTTTTTAAAATTTAGGGGTGGCAATCTTAAGAAAGTACGCGGACAGCCAATGGCCTAGGAACGGCCCTACCTTTATGCTAGTTGACCATTGTTCTCCAAGACAGAAACTGTCACAAGGATATAAAAAATTAAATGCATTTTCCCATATCTGCGGTCGGGGTATAAGTGGTTAGTTTGTCCAGCTGGTCATTGCAAGAACCATAATTCGAATTCCGACGATTGCACAGTTGATTTCATAAGAGTTCCTTAAGGAAGGTAAGTACCATAAAGGGTCATAAGCAAAAAAGTGCCATAAGGAGCATGTACAAAGGCTCATATAAAATTTTTATGAAGCCATTGGCCATCGGAACTTAACATTTGCTGGACCAGAAATGCCCTAATCATTAAGCAAAATAAGCACGTGTTTAGGCCATTAAAGGTACGGGTCACCAAATTGAATTAGTTGCTACTTCAAAGGATTTCGAAGCAATATACATTTCGAGGTTGAATTTTAAAATTTTGAATATTTTATTTACGGATTTTCGGCCAAATGGAAACAAACTCTTCTTGTCCCGTCCTCGGAGCAAAGGAAAAATGCCTGTTGGTCTTTTTGGAATAGATAAATTATATTAGAGTGCCTTGAAAGTAACGATTTGGGTAATTTTTTATTGTTCACATCCCCAAGAAAATTTGCTAACTCAGTGGCGATTTTGTGATTTGGTGGAAATCATATGTTTGGCTCTCTTAATGAGTAACTCATGAGTAACATTCTGATCATAAGTGATAATAAAAAGAAGCATTTTATACAAAACAAGGAATTTTATGAGCAAAGAAAAAATGGTCGATGTTTACACTTTTTTTTTCGGCTTTAGTTTATGAGGTATTTCTCCCGTCTTCTTAGCATGCCTTCGTGGTGTAATAGTCAGCACGCTCGGCACGTTTTCAAGAGATCTGAGATTCTAGCCCCTGCGAGGGCACTGCTCCTTTTTCACCTTTCCTGCATAAAAAAAATCCTAATGTCTCTACAGTGGTGCCCGAAGTAAAAAAGGTGGTGGATGATGATTCTTCACCACCAGGATTTGGCGATTGGATCCCCTAATCCCCACTCGCCCTTTAAAAGGGAGTATATAAGCATGCCTTCGTGATGTAATGGTCAGCACATTCGGCAAGTATTCGAGAGGTCCGTGGCTCGACACCCGGCGAGGGCATTGCTCATTTTTCATCTCACCTCCTTTAAATTAAAAAAAAAAAAGAAAAACCACCCTGATGTTTCTACAAGTTAACATTGCATTCTCCATTTGCGAAATCGTAAAATTTAGGATTAACTAAAAAAATTAAGACCTAATTAACCAAAATTTCACCATCAGTTCTTCAGCAGAAATAAAGGTGTTAGAATTGAAAGGTTTTTTTAAAAGAAAAACCACTTAATTTTACAATTAAGAACAAGTGTTTAAGATTTGCTTTAAGCTTAATACCTGCGATTAAACCTCTGATTTTCATATTTCCTGTCATTATTTAAATTAACTAATTATACAGGGATAACTAACCAAATGACTATATAGTGGCGCCCGAACTAAACGGTGGTATATGATGTTTCTTTACCATGAGGATTTGGTGATTGGGTTCCCTAATCCCCAGTCATCTTTTGAAAGGAAGGATATAAGGGGATTTTCTGGCTCCTTTCTGTATGCCTTGGTAGTGTAATAGTAGTACACTCGGCTCGTATTCAAGGGGTTCAAGTTCGAGTCCCAGCGGCGGCATTGCACATTTTTCATGTTTTCTACTTCAAAAATCCTAATGACACTACAAGTTTAGCCCCCCCCCAAACTGTAACAGTGTTAGTGACTCTGACTGCTGAACAGAAGGGCCCGGGCTCGAATGCCGGAGGAGGCATGAATGTTTGTAAATGTATATTGTCTGTGAGGCATAGGGCACTTTAAATATGAGGCGAGACGGAAATCCTCTCAAGAGGTTAGTGGTAGGGGAAGAGGAGACCCACGGACACCCCTCCTTCCCCCCGTCGTCCGTTTATCCATCAAAACTGGGGGGCAGAAATGAACAAAGTCGTACTATCGCCTGCATGGTTCTCAAGGCCCTTGCTAACGACAGGCGCAGTCTTGCTCTTCTATTTTGTGGGCTCGTTCTTATGCTACTGTCAGACAAGCGAGATATGTCACAACAGCAATAACAACATTTACTGAGTTTATGATTTCCAAACTTCATTTTGGCTCAAAACTGTACATCGATTATACAAGATATTCCAAACATAGTCCACTAATGTGCATTTCTTGAAAGAATTGGCTGTAGATCCTCGTTACCAATTTTAGGAAAGAATTAGTAAGCTTAGCCAGGTACAGGTACAAGTGGGTGGAACACCAGAAGTTCATAGTTGTTAGTACAGGTATAAGCCCATTGCACTTACTCTACAATTCCTCTCCAGTTTTCAGCAAATAAACCCCGGGAAACGGTCCTATGATCTCTCACCCTTGTTCTCCAACCACTAGCCTCTCGAGAGGAAATTCGGCTCGCCATGTATTTTGTGTGCTCCCTTGCTACACAGACACTACGCACTTACAAAGATCTATGCCTTTTCCGGGATTCAAGCTCGGGACCATCGGCTCGACAGTCAGCGTCGCTAACCAATATACCGGCTGGGCGGGCCTAAGGAGACAGTAACTTTTCCATTACAGTACTAAAAAACTACTAGAAAGGGTGTCGGCTAAAAAACATCTCCACAAAAGCATTGCGAGTGATGAAATCTCGGAGAAAACAACGCGAGGAGAAAACCTCGTCGTATAAAACATCGTGACAGAAAAGAAAGCAAGGAGAAAACATCGCATTCTAAAACGCCGTGATAGAAAATAAAGCGGTGCAAACACTTTGCAATCTGAAACATCGTCATACAAAATATCGTAGTAAAAAAACACATACAAATTATCATATGATGATAACATGGGCAAACATGGGCTTTCTGACGATCAACATTATAAATGAATTTTACTCCATTATATCAATAATATTTCATATTTTTTGTATTAACTAATAAATTTTTACC